AGTGGTTAGTCGATACATGGCAAATCCTGGTAAAGAGCATTGGAGTGCGATAAAGAGGATCCTGAGATATGTCAAGGGACCTCAAATGCTACATTATGTTATGGAGGATCAGATTTTGTTGTTAGAGGCTATGTTGATTCAGATTATGCAGGTGATCTTGACAAAAACAAGTCTACCTCAGGTTATGTGTTTACTCTTGCTGAAGGAGCTGTAAGTTGGGTTACAAAATTGCAGTCTATCGTGGCTACTTCTACAATAGAGGCAGAATACATGGCAGTTACACAAGCTAACAAAGAGGCAATCTAGTTGTAAATGTTAATGGAGGAGTTCGAACACAAATAAGAGAAGATTGCTCTATTTTGTGATAGTCAGAGTGCTTTGGACTTAGCAAAGAATCCAGCATTTCATCAGAGAACAAAGCACATTCGAGTTCAATATCACTTTGTTCGAGAAAAGGTGGAAGAGGGAAGCGTGGATATACAGAAGATCCATACGGAGGACAACCCAGNTTCGAGAAAAGGTGGAAGAAGGAAGTGTTGATATACAGAAGATCCTTACAGAGGACAACCTAGCAGATATGTTAACAAAGCTTATCAGTTCTGACAAGTTTACATGGTGTCGATCCTCCATCGGACTAATAGAAACGTAAGTAGCATGAAGATGGCAAGTATAGAAAGGATAGAAGTGGTACAGTTTAAGTGGGATAAATGTTGGAATAAAGCCACTTTGTTGGATTAAAGAGGCAACAATATCTTCACCATTTTGCTGCAATTGTTGACTTGGGCAGGTTGTATGGATTTAATGTTGAAGAAAAATGCATGCAATGTTGGTAGAAGTTGGCTGGTAGAAGTTGGCAGCAATTTCTTGTGTGTTGAATTTCTAACTTCAATTAATTCACCCAGTGATATTTGCCTATAAATATGGACAAAAGCTGAAGGGAAAAGTAGCAAGCAAATTGAGAGGAATTGAAAGTGTGAGTAGAGAGAAAACAATGAGTAGAGAGATAAATTATAGAGGGAAAAATATCGTTTTCTCCTGAGTGTTTCCTACTTAGTTTCTCCTATTACAAGATAGATTAATTGTTGTTATCTCCTTGTATTTAGAGAGTGTTAGTGTAATTCTCCTGCTGTAGTGAAATCCTTCTATACTTGCCCGTGGACGTCGCCTAACTTNATTTAGAGAGTGTTATTGTAATTTTCCTACTATTGTGAAATCCTTCTATACTTGCCCGTG